CTCCGCCCCAACCCCCTACCATAATGACCACCCAGGTTTGTACTGAGTACACCGAGCGCCTACTGCTGCCTGCCAATGCACAGGCCAACACAATCCACAAGCACATAATGCTCCAACACTCCCACCCTCCCGGACAATGCCTTCATCTGCTTTTCCCTTAGGCATCACCCAGGCCTAAGCTCATGTGCAGTTCTTGGCTGTGTTCACAAATGTCTGACACCGATCAGCCCCTGCTGCAGCCATACACCGAGCGCCTACTGCTGCCTGCCAATGCACAGGCCAACACAATCCACAAGCACATAATGCTCCAACACTCCCACCCTCCCGGACAATGCCTTCATCTGCTTTTCCCTTAGGCATCACCCAGGCCTAAGCTCATGTGCAGTTCTCACACTGATCACTGAGGGTAGAGGAGACTGGGGAAATGCTTCCTCCTGCCTCTAGCAGACTGATCACTAGGGGAGAGGAGACTGAGGAAATGCTTCCCCTGCCTGCAGCAGACTGATCACTAGGGGGAGGAGACTGAGGGGAGCAGATCACCATATTGATTTCAGAGCAGCTGTATAATTGCATTTCTAAAAAGGTTCCTCCCCCCCGGTCCATTTGTGTCGCTGTCCCTCTTACAGAGCGGTGAATGTGATTTTCGCTGCATAACTCGCTGGCGGTGTCGCTGAAATCACACGCACCTGGAAGATTCACCTGCAGTAAATGTTCGGTGGGTGAATGACATCCAGCCGTGTCCTATGGAGTTCAGCGTCTCCACAGGAAGGACTGTCACCGATCTGTCACCGGAACATTTCGTGGCGTTCGTCTGTTTTACAGATTGTCCGCGGCCAACACAAAATCCCCAACGGCACGAAAAAATCTTCCCATAATCGGATCGATATTTCTAATCGGATCGATAGACGGAAGCGGCTTTGTTACCGCGGGCAGCTGACATGACTGGAGCCGTATTATAAACATTGATCAGTCCCAGGACTCTCCTGTCTATAGCACCTTCATATACCGGAGAGCAGGGGGAGGGGACCTCGGCACGCCGCCTGTTGTGGGAACTACAAGTCCCATGAGGCATTGCAAGGCTCTGACAGCCACAGGCATTACTCCCAGAGGCAGAGGCATGCTGGGATTTGTAGGCCCATCACAGCTGGAATGCCCAGGTTGCCTACCCCTGGTGCAAGTCATGGGTAGGTAACCTCTGCACTCTGGCTGTTGTGGCACTACAAGTCCCATGAGGCATTGCAAGGCTCTGACAGACACAGGCATGACTCCTAGAGGTCAGAGGCATGAGGGGAATGGAAGTTTCACCACAGCTGGAGTGCCTACGCCTGCCCTACAGCGTGGTCTGATGGGGGCCACACATGTAGCCATATGATGATGGCTACATGTGGCTAGTAAGCTCTTCCCTCCCACCTATCATGGTCGTGGTGTGGTGTGGTGTGGGTGTGTGTGTGTACACGGGTCCAGTTGGGTCTTCCACTAGTACAGACTGAGGAGCTCTAAAGCACAACGTGACCTATGAAATAAAATGAACCAATCACGGTCCTGGAAACTTCTCTCATGCTGCACCTTGTTTCTGGGCTGATCCCCGCTCAGCTGCGGCGCACCGAAAAGAGGGAGAGGCCAGAAGCTTGGCATTCCCGCCGTGGGCAGCTGACATAAAAATGTTTTGCGCCTTCCTATAACAAATATAAAAGCCTCTGGGAGCCATGCCTGTGTCTGTCAGTCTTGCAATGCCTCATGGGACTTGTAGTTCCACAACAGCTGGAGTGTCCAGGTTGCAAACCCCTGATACAAGGTCAGCTGGTGGGTCTTGCTGTGACTTGTAGTTCCACGGCAGAGGGTTGGGTCCCAGCGCTGAGTGTCACCCGTCTCTCTCTCTCTCTCTGTATTTGTAGCAGCTGTTGCCGGTCTGGGCGCCCCCGGGGGCATCGAATTCTATTGACCGCGGCAAGTCGCGGCAGATCGATCAGTCGTCTATCAAATCAATACACAACACAAGCGTGAGAAGAGAGCCCGGGGGACGGGGATGGGAAGGGGGGGGAGGGGAAAATGAAGCGTCCGAATAACTGGGGAATGCATTCAAAAACAAAGAACGCTCACATATGATCGTCAGACGATGTCATGGCGGGCCACAAAGAGGACCTGTCACTAACCATGTCTGGCCCATATGATGGTACAGTGTATGGCCACACTGGGCATGTACAGCCTTATGTTCTATCATAAACATATAACGGAGACCAATGGAGCCGCCGTATGCGCTCATTACATACGCAGGCTTAGCAGCACTAGAGAGGGCTCACAACGCCAGTCATGTGACACAATGAAACCCATGCCCCCCCTGTGTGGCTGGTATCACGGGGGCTGTAATGCAGAATGGCCATGGAGAGCTCCAATCCATAAATCCCCCCATATAAAGTGGACCTGTCAGTGACGTTACACCCGGACATTCCGGACAAGTCTCAGTACACAGCGACAGAAGAAAGACATGATGTCATTACAAAGCCATCTCTGAGCTCCAGTACAGTGACTGTGCCTAGGCTGAGATGATGTCATCAGTCTGCTGCAGGCAGGAGGAAGCATTTCCTCAGTCTCCTCTCCCCCAGTGATCACTCAGGCTGTACATTGTAACTTTGTGGCAAATCACAAGGTGTTATCTGTGAGACGGTATGTGATGGTGATATGGTGACCCCGGATGATACATAGGCTTTTATTCTGCAAAAGTCAATTGACTTTGTTGTATAGAGGTAGGTGATGATTATGGGGGGTGTATAGAGGTAAGTGATGGTTATGGGGGTGTATAGAGGTAAGTGATGGTTATGGGGGTGTATAGAGGTAGGTGATCGTTATGGGGGTCTATGAAGGTAGGTGATGATTATAGAAACCGTCCTCTTACATTTGGCTGCTCCACCTCCCCAGACCTGTGAGTTGAGCTCTCCAGACTTGGTTCAGAAGTCCTCACTGAGCCAAGAGAGGGAGTCTCACTCATCTCGCT